CGCGGGCCTCGGACCTGGCTGAAACCATGCTTGAAAGGCGCTGGCCTCTTCCACCAGAGCCCCCCCCCTCTTGAAAACAAAAACTTGCCAAAGCCCTCCCCTCCAAAAACCAACTTGCCTGCAGACTTAGAAGGGGTTTAGTGGGGTTTAAGGTTGAGGGGTTTTGGAACTAGTGCTCCTTCCGGCCAGCTCTTGTTTCAAGGGTTTCGGGTTCAGGCATTAGGGGTTTAAGGGTTTAGGGGTTCAGGGTTTGGGTTTTGTATGATGCTGTTGATAGTGGTCACATGCGAGGCAGTATGTCTTGTGTGATTGGGTGAGTGCTGCAGCTTTGCCTGGCCTTTTTCTTCAGGGTACCCGGCAGTCGCAATTGGCCTGGATGCAAAAGGGTTTGGGTTTAGGTGTTTCAGGGCTTAGGGTTTCTGGAACTAGTGCTCCTATCGCCCAGCGATGAAACAGGGCTGGAGTGAAGAAATTCGAAAGGTGGCCAGGCACTAAATTTCAATTCACAGGCCTGTGTAAAACACTCAGTTTTCAAGCCTGCAAAGGCCTAGCCCAGGCAAGGCAATCCCCCCTGATTAAAACTCCGGCCGCTGCAGAACAATCGTGTTTTGTTATTGCTGTTGTTTGACTGTTGAGGGTTTAGCCGTTGGGAGCGATGTTTTAAAGGGGATGGTCTGTCATGCGGGAGTGATCATATATGCATGTATATGTATATATATATATATATGTATATAATATATATATATATATATTATATTCTCACTTCGCCGTTCCGGCTTGCTTCACCGTTGTTCTTTATGGTGCGGGTCTGTTCTAGTTGTTAGATTTCTGCCGAGTTCGGCCGCAAGGTACTATTTGAACGGGAACGATGCTTTCCGGCTGAAATTCCTGTTCAAGATGCCCGACGGCATCCTGTCTGCACGCAGCCTGCCGATACGACCTGTGTCAGCAGGTAAGCCGTCCCCGACCTTGTAAACAGAAGTGTGTGTTCTGTTGGTGACAGACTAGGCCACTCATGCTGGCAGACGCCTTGGTCTGTATCATCAAGCATCATGATCCATAACCCCGACTCGTCTTGACCAGTCTTCGCAAGTCTACATGTAGTCATTCGAAAGCCCGAGTTGCATATTACATGAAGCCTCAGCACCGCAGGCTTCAGCACCGGTCTCGGCTGTCTTGGCCCACCAAAGGAGGAATGGACTCCAGAGCTGTGACAGCTAGCCGTAAAAAGGCACGCGGCATGACACCGCATAGGCTTCTGTTTGCATTCAGCCCCTGACGATGACATGCCGAATTCCCGTCTCTCGGACATTGGATTGAGGTGTGCGGCTCTCTCAATGCAGACATTATTATAGAGCAGGCCTCTCAGGTTTATCTGCCCTAGAGTACTGATGGGTCATTCTGTGTGGCTCAGGATCAACCGTTTCCCGAAGAAGGGTGAGACCCTGGGGACACGCAGCCTTAGCCCCGGGCTGGGAAAGCACACCCTGGTGCGCACAAGCACTCCGAAGACAACATCGTAAGAAAAAGTGTGCGAGATCTTGACTACTTTCGGCGGTTCTCCATGGTTCCTTGTGTGCTGTATCCAGGTGCGGATACGGGGGTCATGGTGCCGGGCGGAAAAGGCCTGCCGTCTTGAAGGGATCCAGACAATCACTGGAGCTGCGACAGCTAGGACAATTTAAAGACTCATGGCCTAGTGTGCATCGGTCGGTCCCTGAACGGGGTCGCATGTTGGCTTTCGTTACAGGGGGAAGCCACGCGTTCGGCTGCTTGGCAGCATGTGCGTACCTGCAAGGTGCCAACCAGGCGGTAGCAGCTTCCCGCCTTGCAGCTGGTACTCCCAGGAAGGCTGGGAAATGGCTTTAGCCTGTGTTGAGTTGATACCCGCGATGATGCTTAAGTTTACTTGTCTCGTGGTTTCTGCCTGCCTTGCGGCTTTTGACTTGCGGTCAGAATACGGCTGACCTTTGGATACGGCGAGAGAGAAGAGAGAGCGATGAGGAACAAAGTGTTCTGTACGATGCACGACAGTGAACATTCCTCCGTGAGCACATGCCTCCACACTTACTCAGCAGGCTCAGTTCGTTTGCCAGTTCGGAAATGTCTGTGGCTTACTTCATTTTGTCGAGCGTACATGCCTCAAATGGCTCTGAGTGCAGCAGAGCCGTCCCGTCTCGGATGGGCGAAGTGCACGGACTGATTCTGATACATGAAATCAATTCGTTTTGGAGCTGTGCTTGCACTGCCCAGGACTCGCATGCCACAAAGCTGGAGCAGGTACTCGTGGCGCCTCAGCTGGAAACTTCACACGTCTTGCCAGGTTTTCAAGTGCAGCTTTTGTACTTGTCGGCAATGGAGCTGCGGCCACTCTTGCCTCGTAGGCCCAAGGCACAGAATGAGCAGCAAGGCTCGGCTTCAACCGTAACGACTTGAGGCAAATCTTGTGGGCGGGCCAACTGCCTTGAAACCGGATCCTGGCAGCCTGGAGCTTGAGAAATCTGAACAACAGCGCCCAACAAGAAAAGCAGCTGTGATTGGTCGTACAGTACTCTGTCAACCTTTTGGAAACCCGCCCAAGCAGAAAATCACTTCGGGCGATGGCGGTCTGATCGAGGGGTGGTGCGCGCAAGAAAGTCACTGGATGCTGGACACCGGCGAAAAAACAAGAACAGAAGGAGTGGGGATGGAGCTCGGATTATCCAAGATTCCTTGCTCTGCAGGCCTTCTGCATCGAGCAGCATATTCGATCGCTCGAGAGCATGTCTTTTGTTGGGCTAAGGACAACGGCTTAGATCTCAGCGGCTGCGGCCGGGCTCAGAAGCCGCCGGAAGCTGATGCGCATGGGTGTTTGCGTGTGTCGAGCGTTTTCAGTGTCTCAGAGCGCTTGAGTACCCGGCAGGTCTGGGCAAGCTTTCATTTTCCTGGAGGCAGATGGCCGCTTCCCCAGTTCAGTCGTTCGACCACCACATAATGGTGGAAGTGGAATGGGGCATGTTGGGTGGGGTTGCTGCCAAGCCTGCCGATGCATCTAAAACTGTCGGGTTTGCTTGACACCAGAAGCTTCGAAGGTTCCAACTCCATTCTCATCGTCGGCGGGTCGAATGTCGCGTGGCCTGCAGAAGTTGTCGACTTCCAGAGGCCTGGCACCGATGCTGCTGCTCGATCTTTGTCACAGCTGTCCCTTTCCGGCAAGGCTCATACAGGGGGCGAGTGCCGTCCTACTGCAACAAGAGATCCCCAAGTACGTCAATGAGGCGTCTGGACACATGGTGACCTTGGAATCTTTTCGGCGTTCCTTTTCATGGAAAGTGTGCCTGCTACTCGCGTAAGCAGTGGTGATCCGAGAGAGTTTAGGCTGTTTAGGCACTCGCAAACAAAAGCGCACGGATGGGCCAAACTTAATTGGCCGTCAAGCCCTCAATCAAGCAGAAACCCCGGAAGGCCGTGGCCTCCGTTGCCCATGCAGCGGGCGCTGCTGCCTCGACTTCTTGTGGGTCGCATGTGAACCCCTTCCAGATAAAATGGAGTCCAAACGTTTGGGGCCACCTGGGTTGAGAAGGTGCCTGTGATTCAAGATGTTGGTGGCGAAGAACGTGACTTTCCAGACGAGTGCCCAGCTCAGCCAGAGACGCCGCATGAGTGCTCATGACATCAATACTGTCAATGTTAGTGACCTCGTACATTTGGACCTTGTGCGTCGTCGTGGCGCACGACCACCGAATATCAGAGCTGATCCGGAGGTTTAGTCATACTCCTTCCTGCGAGTGAGTCTTTTGACTTGGTGCCGAGGCATCTGAAAAAGCAGGAAGCTCGGCGGACTCACATTGACGGATTATGCCAGACAAGGATGCAGCATGATGGTAAATTGCTTGCCTTCATCGAACAATCCAGGGGAAGTGCCTGAAGGCCTCCAGACGAGCACATAGACCTACACGGGTCTGCAATAAATACAGAACAAAGAACTGGGCATGAGTTGTAGCTACAGGCTTGACTATATCTGCCCAAATGAGTCCGGGGCTCAGAACTGAATCTGCAATGGGCCTGCCATGCCCACGACATGTTGTATCCAGGTGAAGCCGAATGTGACACCTCAGGACTGAGCTGGAGAGGCTAACCGGCATGCCAACAGATCCTCGATTTGCATGACCCACGAGCTTAAGCACTCGGTCACACCATGTCACATCATGGTTTGAGCAGAGCGGCCCCCAAGCACACCTGGGTGCAGCCAAGGACTCGGAGGCAAAAGTTGCCAGGGACTTGTTGAAGACCTCTTGGCGCTGGCATACGCTGTGTCAGCAACTGGGCGCTAAGGTGTCAGCAGCCAGGATGGATGGAAGTTAGCCGTCTCGTGCAACAGTGCCTTACAACTGATGTGTATCGGCAGTGCACCGCCACGGCAGATCCGGTGGCGAGGAGTTTGCAGAAGAGGGGCGTCAAGAACGTCCTTTGCACTCTTGGTCGCGGCCCTGGATTCGGAGATGGACCGAGATGATATGAGTAGCACGCATCGCCAAGTGCTGCCACGCGAGATTGTGCAGGTGGTGTTTGAGAAATCACATGTTCCATTTCACCGCAGGGTAAGCAGCTCATTGGTTTTGTAGAGTTCACCCCTTCAATTCGGAGCCATGCCGCAAGATTCTTTGGCCCCGGCCTTAGGTTTAGCCAGTGCAGAAGGCAGAATTACGAGAGCTGCCTGTCGGCTTCGTGAAGCGAGCCGAGAGAGAACGACGTTGAGTGAGAGACTCTGCCCGACACGAAGTAGGAGATCCCACAGAAGAGCGCTCATTTCTGGAAATTCCCCAAGGACAACCAAATGGCGAATAAGCAGGGCAGCAAAGGCGGAGAGGACTCCGCTTCTGCAAGGGCGCAAAAGCATCCTACCAAAGACATGTCCAACATGTCCCCATGCGAGTACGGAAATGTACGGAAGGATGAGGATGAGCCTACAACTCAAGCACTCGATGAAGACGACGTCATTATCATGCGCACTTATGGCCGCGAAGCCCAGTGTCGATTCGCAAAGTTTTTGCTATCAACATCAGCACCTCCTTGAAGGCGTTGGTCCCTATGTCGGGCCAATCAAGACCGCAGAGCTACCAAGCTGACTCAATAAGTGAATGTGGTGCGACTGGTTTCGGAGCTCGCCATGTAACTTAAATCTGAGTGGCATGGGAGCTCAATCACGACGCAGACTAGGAAGGAGGCCAAAGAGTACATCAGCAAGATCAACAAGCTTATCGGAGTTAAGGAGCTTCTTTCCCATCTCTTTGGTCAGCAGGGCAGGGATGTCAGAGACTCTGTGAATGCCTTCCCCGAGAGCTCACACAATGCCAGAGTCTAGCTTGATGGATTGAAATGGCAGGAGTCTGACACCGGCCTAGCCCCTCCAAGTCAGTGGGATCTGGAAGGCGACAAACAGATGATGAAGCAGGACGGTTGGCGTCTGGTGCTTCCAATTTTCAGTTAATAGGGACGGCATACCGCTTGCGCTCTTAAACGGCCCAGACAGCAGGTGCATGTGGAAGTGGTCGCATGCATGTCGCAGACAGACACACAGACACACGCACACACCCACTTACCACAACGAATGAAGTGCTTTCTGAATGGCTTGGGGACATGCGGCTGTTTGAGCGGGAATAGACATGACCCTTGCGAAGCCAGGAGCAAGCACTGCAAGTAGCCCGGGTGACCAAGATCATTGATCCGGGGACGGATGACACCAAGCAACTTAGCTTTCAATGAGAACGAAGCTCCAGATTTCTTGTGATTGATGGTCGTCTCAGTCAGGTACGTCATCAAGATCCGCGAGTTCGCGAAGTTTGTTGTTGGCCTTGGTGAGAAGGTGTCCGCCACTGACATCGAGGAGAGTATGCGCGTCGGTGTGGACACTTCCCATGGAGGAAAGTGCGGGGCCCCAGACATGTCTTCGACTTGAATGTGATAGGAAGGAACATCAGGCTGATCAATTTCCAGTTGTCGTCTTGTGGTTCTACTGAGCCATTTTATGCTGGCCACAGGTACCGAATTCAAATCCCGCTGCCACCAAAGATCGACCCATCAGTAACAATGATGACGGTCGAGGATGCGGTGCAGGGATGGGCCAAGCACGTTTGGACCATTGGAGCAGAAGCAAGGTTTAACATGTTTCGGAAATCTGGGGTTGAAACAAACAGTTTTTGAACACTTCTGTTGCTGTTGTTCATACATGTGTGTGCAGACCTGGTTAAGTTCACAGGTAACGGAACGAACGAAAGAAAGCGAGTGAATGAGGCACGCTTTATATTTAATTAGGTCTTTTGTGATGGATTCTATTTCTTAATGAATCTATCGCTAGCTTCTACACCTACATGGAATGAAAGCATGAATCAGATTAGAAAAACGAAAGAAGACGTGCCAAGAAGAACGAATGAACAATAACCAAAGAACATCAAAGACCACAAAGTTGTTTAGCGACTTTCTGTCAGAATACAATATGTTATAATATGCTTATTCAACATGTTTAAAATCCTCCTCTGAATCAATGCGTCCGTAAGGCTTTAAAATATGTTTTTGTTTAGCATCGCTGTCCGATCTAGCTCTAAGGCTGATCTCTACAAGGGGTCTTCCGCTACCCATTAAGTGCACAAAGAAACCGCGGTTACCCGTTGCAGCACAGACAAGCAAGCCAAGCGGCATCTTCAAAAGCGCTCCTTTCGCCTCGTGCTGGGAGGGGGGCCATTTGGGAGGCCCTAGACAGGCCTTTTGACAGGTCTGGAAGGGGATGTTTCTTTTTCGAACATGTTAAATGGAACTCGTAATTGTGCAACCCAACCGGAGAGAGAGAGAGAGAGAGAGAGATGGCGCGGGGGCTTGAGACGCCTCCTGAACCCCGAAGTGAA